CAGGAATCTGCGCCACTGCAGACCGGCCGGGGTTAGTGAGCCGTGCAGGATGCTCATTCCTGTGTCCTGGAGAGCCCTCGCGCCGTGTCAAGGCAGAGCCAGAAAAGCACTGAAGGGACTGGTGTTCCCAGCGTTTGCCTATGTGCACGGCAGTGCTAAATACGGCGCTGGTCGAGTGACTCTCCCTGTGCCAAACTTCTCTTGGTTTTGTTTGTTGTTTTTCTGGGTACTTTCTGGTGGACTGAGGTGCGTTTCAGTGTACTTGGACCACCGGCTGCTGGTGTAACACTGCACAGAAACTCCGTTCCTCTTCAGACCTGCACAGCGGAGCTGATGTAGATTGTGTTGTTTGGTTTCAGGACCATCATCCGTCCCAGCCAAACCAGAGCGGGTTACACGGCATCTATTTGCGAGCCTTCTGCACAGGTCTCGATTCAGTGCTGCAGCCGTATCGACAGGCGCTGCTTGACCTAGAACAAGAGGTAAAGGAACAAGTCTCTCTAGACTTGGAACGAGAGGCTGTCCTGCTGCTGCCACATTGTGGAGCATTGTCACTTCTGCAGTTAACATGCTAAGCAGCAGTAGCTAGAGGAGACAAACTGTATTCCTTTCCACAGCAGGGATGTCTTCCAGATATTCCTGTGAGGTGCCACTGTAAATGACTCTTCATTCTAATAAGTGTTAAGTCCCCTCCACCTTGAGTTCTGTAGGTGCCCCATCTGCCTCAGAGCCCAGTGCTGTCTCAGATTGTTGCAACTTCTGTTGTCAATTGTCAAGGCTTTGATTAATCTTTGCTAGATTAGCAGCTGCTGTATCTTGGTTATTGGCACCACTCAGAGGTTGTTATAGCCTAAAATGGGATGGGACACAGCTCAGAAATATGGGCGGGGGGCTACGGGAACTAAAGGTTTGGAATATAGAGCCAAATGTGCTTTTTTACTTACCCATACCTTATTTAAATTTTCGTTAATTGCTTTGTTGTTCTTAACAGTTTCTGGCTGACCCGCATCTTTCCATCTCACATGTTAATTATTCCTTGGACCAGGTATGTCATGTTAAGAAACAGGTAGTGCTCTTGCTTAGTCTTTGCACTCATCGAGTCTAGGAAAGCGGGTGGGATAAATACGGGTTAGTCTGTCGTGTCGTGCCATTTCCCAGCCCCTCTGTGTTTGTAGTCCCTGGATCGTGCTCAGAGGATCGCTGGTGCTTTGGCACAAAGCTCAGGTCCTCCACCTTGACACTCGCATGTTCCTTGCTGCTTGTGTTCAGCCTGAACTGCAGCTGGAATATAGTAACTTCGTGTGTGTTGGTCCGGTGGAGGGAAGACATTCTTCCTAGAGCTTTTCATGTCACATTTCTAATTTGTGGGGAAAGGCAGGCGATGGTTCACTGAATTACTGTGCTCAGCTGCCATCCACACATACTAGAGTGTAGCTTTTCTCTCTCCCTTGCACAGCAGCCTCATTTGGTATTTTGCTCCTTGTCCTGCAGTTTCAGCTGCTCTTCCCCTCGGTGATGGTCATGGTGGAACAGATCAAGACTCAGAAGGTACAGTGAAATTGTGGCTAGCTTCTCTTAGCAAGTTTCCTCTGTAGCTGACAAAGTTCTTGCTGCCCCCATCCCAGACCTTTGATACAAGAAAAGCACGGGGTTTCGGTAACGGGTACCCTGTTCCTGATGCTGCTGTAAGCACGGATTTTGCAAATCCATTTACACCGTATTTGACTTTGTCGTTATTGGTGTGATTTTTGATGACTGGCCTTTATAATCCCAATACTTCTCATAGTCCGAGATGCTGCTGCGTGGAATTTCTTCTTTTCCGAGTGTTTACTCCCACCGTCACCTTAAAAAAGAAAAAAAAAGAAGGCAGAATCTAGTGTTTTCCGAATCCAGAGATACTTACGTTTGTGCAGGGATGTTTCTGAGAGAAGCTTGGCCGTGGGGGCACACGGAGGCGGCCTCTGCACTCCACATGTCACATCTTCCTTTCTGTCAGCTTGTGCAGCTTGGGGGGACATTCCTTGTTAGCTGAAAGCACGGTGTTTGAATGGCTGAGCAGGTCAGTACTGGGCCAGGTGACAGCTGGTCTAACCATGTTTTCTTTCTGCAGATTCATGGGTGCCAGATATTGGAGACAGTCCACAAACACAGCTGTGGGGGGCTGCCTCCTGTTCGCAGCGCTCTCGAGAAGTACGTAGGTAAAGCCGTTAACCCGTCCGTCGGCAGCAGCTGGAGTTAGGGCACAGTGTTAATCTCGTTTGTGCGGAATGGGAGCAGACAGTCGGAGGAGCAGCAGGGAGAACTGTCACAGTCCCCCCCTAAAGCAGCTCATGGCAGGAGTTAAGGCTTTCTCCACACTTTAGACTCAGGGCTGAGGGAAGGTCATGGGGGGTTTATCCTTCCGAGGTCTGCACAAACTGTTTTGCATATGGAGACCTGTTGCTGTGTTTTGGCCCTTTGAAAGGATAAACGTGATTAGCGAGTGTTGGTGGGTGTGCATGTCCGTGGGGAGGAGATCGGGCTACCCCAAGGTCATTTGTGTTTGTGAAACGGCAGTGGAACAGGAGCAGCAGGGCTGGGAAGCCACTGCAGACTTACTCTTAGCTGCGGTGCGGTAGCAGCTCTCTGGAGAAGATGTATCCAGCGGGGTTAGTTCAGTTTTGCAGGTGATCGGTTGACTTTTCTCTGTTTCAACAAACCCAAAAGCCCCATTAGCCTCTTGGCACTCGCCACATTGCCCGCCTGCCTCCCTGCGCTGGCCCTGTGGGGCAGTGTGGTTGTGGCACCTGCTGCCAGGGCCCCTCTGTCCCCCCTCACCTCAGGATCCTGGCTGTGTGTCACGGAGTCATGTACAAGCAGCTCTCCGCCTGGATGCTGCACGGATTGCTGCTGGACCAGCACGAGGAGTTCTTCATCAAGCAGGGCCCCTCTTCTGGGAGTGTGCCTAGCCAGCCTGAAGAAGACGACGACGACCTGGGAATTGGGGGGCTTACAGGAAAACAGCTACGAGAACTGCAGGACCTGGTAAGGCTGCCGGTGCCAGCTTGGCGGGCTTTGCTCTCGGGGGCTGAGGAAAATTCCGTCCCCTGCTGCTGCGCAGGCTGCGTCAGGCCGGCTGCACGCCGGGAGCTGGTAGGGCGGCAGATTAGCAGCACGGGGTAGGCTGTGGCCGGGCACGGCTTACCGGTCGGCACAGTGGGATCGTCTCGGGCAGAAAGCCCTACGGCTGCAGTGGCGTGGGCGCTGATGCCAGGCGATGGGAACTGCGGTACTGTTCTGCTTCCTGAACTGCTCGGACTGTTCTGCTTCCTGACAGTCAGCGCTGTGCTCCGCGCTGCTGGCGCGGGTGGTGGTACGAGCAGTTGCAAGGGTGTGGGGAGCTGGGGCGTGCGCTTTGGTGTGCGCCCTTTCCGTGGGCGGCTGGGTCTGGTGCCCTTCTCGCACAACTAGGTAACACTTTTGACATGGCTGAGGAAAAACGTGCTCTGCAGGGGTCAGGAGGCTGCTAGGAACGTGTCCCAGGGGCCGCGTGAAACGGGGGGCAGCCTGACAGCCCACGGGTGACATGCAGCAGCTCCTCGCGAAGGTGGATGCCGTTGGGGCGCCCCGTGCAGAGCCGCTTTCTCAGCGGAGCCCCCGCCCACGCTTCGTGCACCTGAATAGCGTCTGCACCAAGGGCCAGCGAGAAGCCACTGCAGCTCCGTAAATTCTTGCCCCGGTTTACTGTGAGAACACGTTCTGTGGGCATCCTCGGTGTCTGTGCTGCGTTTTTTTTTCCGCAGATCCGCCCCAGGCAGCCCGCCTTGCCGGCGAAGGAAGTGCCCTGGACAGCAGTCTGCTGCGGCCGGGCTGCGCGGTCCGAGACGGGAAACTCTGAAAGGCC